AAGAGGTAGTACTGCTATTAATGAATTTAAGTCTCAGAGGTTTTGAATTGAGTAATAAGTTTGTGGATTAAGTGTGTACACAATGGGGGATAGGGTCTACTGGTTACGGGTTTATCTGAGGATGTGCAGGACAAGAGTTAAGTCACATAAAGATGAACAAAGAGGAAAAGATGGAAAGGATAGGAAAGTGAGAAGAAAAGATCAGAAGTTCAGTAGAGCTAGAAAAAAAAACAAAAAGATAATTAAGAATGAAAGAAAAAGAGAAAGAAGACAAGAAAAGAAAAGAAAATACACATTCACGTATTCCTAAAATAAAAATTATAAGAGGAGAAAAAAAAAAAAGTTAATGGAAAACAATTATTTTTTCAGAAGAGGCAAAAATTAAAGATTAATAAAAGTTTTAGAAAAGCAAAAAAAAATTTATATATATATATATATAAGGTAACAAAAAACAAAAAAAAACAAGACAAGAAAAAGAAAAAAAGAAGAAAAGAAGAAGAAGAAAAAAAAAAGTTCTTTGATTTTTTTTTTTTTTTTTTTTTTTAGGAGGGGTGGGAAGAGTCCTGTATCTCCCTTTTGTCTGTAACCAGAGTCTGGTTGGAGTCTCTGGTCAGCTTGAGGTCCTGTGGCTTGATTGTTTTCTTAAGTCAGTTTGTTGGAACAGGCAGAAAAATGCTCTGCTTTACCCAAGATTTTGAGATCCCCCTCCCAGGTTAGTTTACTGGGAGGGTGATCTGCTTTGAGAATCACAAAAGAGGGGGATGCAGTGATGAGGCTAGGGTCTGGGTAGAGTTGAGGCCTTTCAACGAACAGTAGCTTTTCCCTGGGGCTATTTTGTGAAAAAAAACTCACAGCACCCAGCCTGGAGCCATTCTCAGGGTTTCTGTTTTTCAATTGATTGTGGTGGCTGCTAGAGGGAGGGGCAGCCTCTGGCTCTGGTTACCCAGTGAGGAGAGCCACTCGAATGGCTGGCGCCTGAGCTGGGTGACTTTTCCCTGGATGGAACTGAGTCTGTGAGGTCACTTCGCCGTTAAGTTCTTGTGACCTGCTAAATGACTCGTTTTATTCCAAGGCCTGAGCTGGAGCTAGCCGCTCCTGCGAGCTTTGTCGGTATCCAAGATGGAGATCACCGGTGCTGGGGGGGGGGAGGGGTGGCCTTCCCTCCTCTGCTCCCAGAGAAGGAGTGAGGAAGCGGGGCTTCTACTCACGCGGAGTCTTGGATCCCGGGTCGTCTCTGGTCTGCAAAGTGCAGGATGAAGTTGTCCGTTCCTTGTCGGTTCTTGCTGGTGTTGAGTAGAATCCGCTCGTCCGCTGCGTCAGGCTCCTTCGTCCCGGACTGCGTCTCAGGTATGCCTCCGCGGCGGTGGTCGCCGCTGCAACCCTGCCGCCGCAGCGGCAGCTGCTCAGATGTGTCTGCTTGGCTTCCCCTCTCTTGACTAATTCTCTGTCCTGTGATGGCACACTTGGTGTGATTCTCTGGCTTGGGACTGTTCACTGGAACTCTGAAACTGTTTTCTATGCAAGAGCTTGTTCAGATTCCAGCTTCTCCTCCGCCATCTTCCCGGAACTCCCATTCTTGCTATTCTTTTGGGTCTACTGTTTCAGTCTCCCAAGTGCTAGGACTATAGGCGCATACCACCATGTATCTAGCTCCTGATTATATTTCCTCAGTAATTTCTTTAGCAGTTGCTCCCAATATTTAACTTATCAGATTCTACTTTAGGTTTATGCTAAATTATTTCCAGTGAAACATGGAACTGTTTCTACTATTCTCCTGTTCTCCCTCTTTATGCTCTTACTAGGTTAAATATATTACAGTGTATATACAATAAATTCAAAGGTATGTTGTTATTCTTGCCTTTAAAAGAATACCTTTTATTACAATAGGGATTGCTTTTGGTAGGGAGTGTGGATATGAGAGTGGCACTAGTGGTGTTAAGAGGATTTTTCAAAACAGAACTCCCAACTAAGTGACCAGCACATCAACTCATAATTTCCAAGCCTTTCACTTCAGAACACTTGGACATAAATATAACCGCCAACAACTGAACCTGATATACTGTTTTTCTTTCTCTACCTGCACCTAACACAGTTCTGCCCTTCTGGAAATGAGTTCTGCTTGTTGCACAGAAGAGAGGGCCAACATAAGCAAGGGGAGGAAAAATGTCAAATGACAACAATATTAATAAAAATATTATCTCACCATACAAAGCAACTATTGCTGTTACAAACCTCTACATGAGGTAAGTTCAACATATCAGAAACAGATGCATGATTAGAAATAATACTGAAGGTCTGAGAGGATGGCTGAAGTGGTAAGCACCTGCCTAGCTGAAGACCGAGTTCAAACCCCAGTACCACCACGAAAAACCAAGGGAAAAACTGAATGTGGAAAAATATGGTATTTTTAAGGTTAATTAGTTTTTTTCTTGTTAGTTGCTCTAATTTTCTAACATAATTAAAATAAAAGCAAGCAAAATGGTTTTGTAGTATCTAAAAAAGGACCCCAAAAAACTGAGTTAAAAAGAATTACTGAAAATCTCTTAATTCTCAGAAATTCCCAGGCAATATCAGTTTATAAATACACATGTTGGTATTATATGCAATATTTATTGTATACCTAATGTGTAATATACAGAAAAAACATTTACGTGTCCATAAATCACACTTTTCTCATAAACTAGCCTTCCTTACTACTTAGCACTCTTCCAGCCCTGCTATGAGAAATTTCAAAGAGAACTTAGAATTCTACTCAGACGTCAAACTGCTTAGCACTTCTAAACTGAAGTATCTTACTCCTCCTTGTAGTCCCTCCTCTGTGCTATTTCTGAGTAAATAGCAGAGAAAGTGAGAACAGAGTTCTAACAGCTCTCACATAGGGAAGGGTTGTTGATCCCAAGTCCTGGCCACTGGTTTTACTGCCTAGAAGATGGGTATGTTACAACAAAGGGCTTGAGTCACGGAGCACACAGTGCTCCACAAGGTGCTGATTGAACCCACAGTTACCACATATCCTGAACCTGTTCCTCAGGTATCAGAGCCCTCCCAGGCCAGCTCCCCTTTCCTTCTAGGCACACACACCCATGACCTGATTTTCAAGTGGGCTCTAAAGGCCTCATCCTGGCACTGGTCCTAACTTGGCAGGGAATAGCTCAGACACTTCCTGGCTGGAACCCAGCCTGCACCAAAATGCTCAAGTGCTTCTACATGGATGTCCAAATTCTTCCACCTGAATGGTGTCACAGTTCTTGCAGTTCCTGGAAATTGACTCCTTATGTAACTTATCTTTTCCTTCACTGCCCTCAAACTCCCATCAAACCCTGGTAGCCCTGTTTCCCTGATTTCTGCTTGCTGCCTCAGGTCACCATTTGCCATCTCTGACTAATAATCCAATGGGTGCTGAGATTCCATGCTGTACACAGAGCCTCCTACAGGCCTGGCCCTTCCTGTGCTCCTCCAATCTTAATTTCTCATTCTTGTCTCGGATTTTCCAACCCTGGATTCTCCACTATAAATATCATTGTCAGGGATTCATTTCAGGAGAAAGAATAAGGCTGCAGGGATTTAGTAGATGAGTAAGTGAAAACAAGCAAAATATGCACTATAAACATTTTTTTACAAAACAAGTTCACTTTGTTAAGCTGAAAATATTAAAACCCATCAATACATAATAACACACATGATAATTAAGAAAACTAATTGAAATAGTAACAACATTAATGCTGATCATGACTGGGTATTTGATCATCGATACACTTAATAAATATAGGCATGTGTGTGCATGCATGCACATGCATGTGCATATCATGGGTCACGTTTAGAGCCAAATGTAAATTAGCACAATCCTACAAAGAAGCATACATAAATCAACAATGTGAACAATGGTGTAAAAATTACCATCAGATCAAAATAGCTAAATTTAAACTAGTTTCACAGCCATTTTCCATACAATTATAACGATTAATGTGGATAAATATAATTAACAGATAATATATTTCTTTCTTAAGCATTCTTTCATAATGCCCCTTATCTTTATTCCTAATAATGACCCTTGTCAGAGATAATGAGCCTGAAGTTTAAACAGTAACAAATCTTAAATAGGAAATAATAGAAGGTTCACATTAATCACAGAGTAGCTAGCAAAGGACTTTCCGTCATAATAAACACTTATGTTTCTCTGTTAGATTTACTTTGATACCATCTCACTATTGTTCTATGTCTTACATACAACCTGGTATCAGTTATACTACTTTGTGAGAGCCTAGTTATTTCAGGAAAGTCACCTGACTACAACCCATACCTCCAAATCCTTTGGAATGATAAGTTAAAGTAGAATTATGGAAAACAAGTTACTAAGGAACATTTCCATCAAACAGAAGAGTGATTTTAGCTGTGCTTGGCCAAATTCTACTTATGTACCCAGGATTTAGCTGTCCTATGGCACATATCACTTAATGTACCTAGGATTTAGCTGTCCTAGGCCAAATTCCACTTAATGTACCAAATAACTACAAGAAAAGTATGTTTCCATCCAGTCCATGTTTCTGGGCTCAATTCAGTTTGGAACATTCCTTGCATACCTGTCTCCATAGGGGGAATGGACCTCACCAAGTCATTTATTTTTCCTACCAAGAAGACAACACAGGTTGTGAACTTGTCCCAGTGGTTTAAAGTCAGCTTTAGTCCTGAGCATCAGAAACTTGTCTAACTCTGAGATGAAACAGGAAAGAGCAGGAGCTATAGACAGACAGAAGAGTGTCCTAAGTAATAACATTCCAAGGAACACTCCCTTTAACCACAGCAAAAAACAAAAAAAACAACCTTATCAAGGAGTCTGCAGTGGTAGAACTGCTGACATTTCTATAGACCCAACTACTTTGTGGAGTAACAGAAGCCCTCATCAATGCCTTAGGCCCTTCTTAAGAGGAAGAGCTTTTGTTTTATTTATTTTTCTTTTTTTAATTTAATTTTATTTTATTTGAGAACATACTGTACAGAGGGGTTACAATTACATGGGCAGGATAATGCATACATTTCTTACCAAGCATTTTTGTTTTATTTTTAACCAGCAAATTTGGTGTTACCTGTAGAGTTGGTGTGACAGATACAAATTTTTAAATGTTAAAAAATACAAGCTTCCAAGATAGAAGAGTAATCAAAGTTCTCTAACAATGTCTCAACTTTCATCTCTCCAAGGCTTTTTCCCCTGTCATTTAGTCTACCACAAGTATCAAAAGAACAAAGATGAACATGGCAAGTGAATAGGATTCAAATACATGTGACAACTCTACATCTAGATACCATGTGTTCTTCAACAGATTCAGGCTATGTGGAAATCTATACAAGATGCTGTAAATATAACATACTATACTTTGCATTATTGTGAGAAGACATTTGACCTAAGCAATCTAGATGGTTCCATTTATTTTCCCATCCTCATTCTCTCTAAAATGAAAAAGATGACTAAATCCACCACTTTTTCCTCATCTATCACCACTATTGTATTCTTTTTTTTCTTGAGACAGAGTCTGACAATATAGTCCAGGCTGAGCTCAAACTCAAGGACTTTAGGTCTCAGTGCTAAGATTACAGGCATATACCACCAAGCCCAGTCCTCTGATTTTTTTAACCTAATTCCTATGTTCTTGTAGATCTAAGGACAGACACTATTAGTATTCAGCGCTTGAAAGAAGTATACAGAAAGATCTATGAAATCACAAAATAACAAGTGGTTAGTGCATACAGCAATCTATTAATTGCTTGGTAAGCCAACGCTCCTTTCTAATTTTACCCTCTTCCATTTTGAAAATGCAAAGTCACAAATATAAGAGATAAAAATAATATACTAGATTATAAAGTGTTCATGAAAGTGACTATAAAAATTAAACACACATATACATATATATACTATTTCTGATCAATGAATTCAAACCAAATCCAAAGAACTTCCTAGAAGCAAACTGTGCAAGGTCTTCAAAATAGTATATAAGGCTGAAGCTGTTTCCTATATCTCTCAGATCTTCTACCACTGAGCCACCTTCCCAGCCCGTCTCTCAGATCTTCTGCAGTTGCATTTCTTATTTTCTGCCTTTCAATTCAACAGTTCATTAAACATCTATAATATGTCATACTCAGTTCTTAACACTGAAAATGTAGATAAATTACTAATGGTGCTAATCTGGAGGCACTCACAGTGAAGTTGGAAAGAAGATAATGTACCCATAATTGCAATAAAAGGTGACTGGTTTAACAGTGAAAGAAAACTCAGGGTCAAGTTGCAACACAGAGTGGAAGCATAAAAGACAGCAGGAAAAGGCTTCCAGAGCAAATGAAGTTCAAAACAGTTCTGGAGAAAGAAAAGCATTTAGCCAAGCAGCAGAATACTCAGGCAGAAGCAAGAGCAAGTGCTAGGGCAAAGAGGCATGAAACCAGGGAGTAGGTGGCCAGAAACTCTAAGCAGCTTTGTATTTCTCATGACTAAATGAGATGTAGGAGTGAAAAAAGGGCATAAAGAACTCTGTGTGCCAACAGGGCCTGTGGGTGGCCAGATGCCGCTGGAAGGTCCAAAAAAAGGGACAACCTAGAAAGGTCTTGGTTGTAGATTCCAGGACTGGCCAAAAAAAAGCATCAATAGCTTAATTAATGAATAAACACAATGCACTAATACATAATGATACTACGTACATTGTAAACACAAAATACGAAAATTTTTGAAGAAAAAGAGAGATACAGGCCTTCCTGTATCTTCCCATACCCAGTGCACTACCAGCAGTTTCCTGTAGGGCTCACCCCTCAACTCTGGAATCAATTTTAGAATACTGTAAAAAAAAATACAAAGTAGAGGTAACTGCTCTGGAAAAGGTGCTGAAATACTTTCTTCCCTTTACTACTGCAGATGTTACCACCATGTCCACAGACAATCCATTAAAATTTGAAACAAAAAGTCAGAGAATGGGGAATGCACAAAAAATCATGGAAGCTTTATCCTAGATGGTGACAAGAAGCTACAAAGTGTGAACAACCCAGAAGCCAAATTAATTTTGTTCCTTTTTTATTTAAACGATGTCTCCTAAAATTACTGTGATTTGCAGGTTTGATGCTTTAACTCATGTGTTGTTTCTGGACACAGGAAGGAGCTAGGTAGTCACTAAAAGACTGTCACAGAAATAGCCACTTACCAGCTCACATGGGAGTGTAATGTTGAACAAATAGTAAAGAATGCCCATTTGGTTTATTTTACTACTGATAAACTCCCTGAGGAAAGGGGAAGGCTAGTCAATTTTCTAAACACTCAACCCTTAATTATCTACACCAGTAGATCAGAGAAGAATTCAGAGAAGCCAAAATAAATAATTTTTTTAAAAAAATCAGCTTTGTAAAGAAGACAGATATTTAGACATAGCCTGACATTTCTCCTTAAATTACACAGCAGCCACCAGCCTGAAAATGGTAGAGTGCTGAGGTCAAATACAAGGGCTTTAGAGTCAAGGGAGTGAAATCTAAGGGCTCACTTGGTAATTCACTAGTTATAGAACCTCAAGCAAGTTATTTAACCTCTGTAATTTTCCATTCCCTCGTCTGTAAAATGAGGAAGTTAATACTACTCTGTAGGTCTGTCGAAATCGAGTGATAGAAAGCACAATACTTGGTAAATCCCTAACAAATGTGTATTTAGTAGAGTTTAAGGACTGGATGGGATCAGGAGGGAAAAAGGACCAAAGGGAGAGCTTATAACTATGGTGAAGAGTTTTGTAAGGTGATGTAAAAGTCATTTCAAGGAATGATTGCTGTTATTCTAAAATTAGCTGGGGAACAAGCATGTTTCCTAACTGCTTTTTTTTTTTTTTTTGTTGGTCGTGGGGTTTGAACTCTGGGTCTGGGAACTGTCCCTCAGGTCTTCAGCTCAAAGCGAGCGCTCTACCACTTGAGCTACAGCACCACTTCCGGTTTTCTGGTGGTTTATTGGAGATAGGAGTCTCACGGTCTCTCCTGCCCGGGCTGGCTTTGAACCGCGATCCTCAGATCTCAGCCTCCTGAGTAGCTAGGATTACAGCCACCAGCACTCGGCCCTAACTGGTTTTTTTTTTTTTTGCTTGGCAGGGAGGGGAATGATCTTTTTTAACTGGGTATCTATGATAGGAAAGCAAGAACAGAATGTTGCTTTTTTTTCCATCTAAGAGGGTTTCCCTCCTTGTGTTTCTGAAAACTGAGTTATCTGTCACACAGGTAGAAAACCCTGGCTCTGTGTGACAGAGGCTGGTGGGGCTCTGAGGCCAGTGGAGAAGGCGGAGCTCACACATTACCTGTGCCCAGTGGTTTGTAAACACAATCATGCATGTTTCTGGGTCAACTCCTTGCAGGCTCACTGCAGGCTGGAGTTTGCTTTCTGTCGAAACTGATGACATCATAAACCTTCAATGCTTCTAAGTCATATTTAATGTTCGCACAAACGTGATAGGCAATCATTAACTTTCAAGCATCACATCAGAAATGTAGCTTCTTCTGTTTTCATGGTTACCTTTAGAACCTGTAATGACAACACAAAGTATATCTTGTTATGTTCATATGCTAAGTAAGATGCTGTTAAGTTTAAATCAAAGATAGGTATTATAAAGGAGATGTTTATCCTCAAGTCTTTTTATTTTCTCTTATCTTGCTACTAAACTATGAAGCTCTATTCACATATTAAACAATTGTTGATTTTCTTCTTTCCATAAAACCAAGCACAGTTCCCCATTATTATACTGCATCACTTGAGTCCGGTTTCCATAATTAAACATGATATCAACTGTGTTTGTAGAGTTAAAAAAAAGACAGTAATAAAGAGCCATGAGTTGACAGAAATAAAATGGCTTAAGACTATTTAGAAGAATTATAAAACTGCAGTCAGACTCCTGGGCCCAATGTGGTTGAGGCTTTAGTTGTTTGTTTGTTTTTTTAATTTGAATCAATGACTGTGTAATGAATTGAAAGCATCTCAACTTGTGGTTCTAAACTAGGTGAAAGTTTCTAGCTTTTCTGAAGAATAATAGAATCTTAATAAGTCAGTTAGAAATGATCTGCCAAGCGGGGCTGGGAAGGTGGCTCAGTGGTAGAGTGCTTGTCTTGCATGCATAAAGCCCTTGGTTCAATTCCTCAGCACCACATAAGCAGAAAAAGCAGGAAGTGGTGCTGTAGCTCAAGTGGTCAAGCACTAGCCTTGAGCTGAAGAGCTGAGGGATAGCGCCCAGGCCCAGAGTTCAGGCCCATGACTGACAAAAAAAAAAAAGAAATGATCTACCAAGGGCTGGGAAGGTGGCTCAGTGGTAGGGTGCTTGCCTTACATGCATGAGGCGTTGGGTTCCATTCCTCAGCACCATATAAGCAGAAAAAGCCAGAAGTGGTGCTGTGGCTCAAGTGGTAGAGCGCTAGCCTTGAGCTGAAGAGCTGAGGGGCAGCACCCAGGCCCAGAGTTCAGGCCCCATGACTGACAAGGAAAAAAATAAAATAATGAGCTACCAAAATAAGCTGGTGCTTTTTAGGTGTAAGTACAAAGTAAAATATCTACAAATGAAAGGTGAATTCTGTGGATAAAACATAAAGGAACCCCTTACTACCACAGTCTGGCAGGAGAAAAAGAGGAGTCATGAGCAAACACCAAATACAGCCCAGGTATGTGGTACTCTGACAGAAGCAGAAAGATAGAGGCACTATCTCCCAGGTTCATCAGCCAGGAAAACACTGGGAGAGTTCAGAATATGACTTCCTTTAGTACACAGACTGGAGGAAGTTCAGAAAAAAGTACTCACAATGATCAGAGCTGAAAAACAAAATCTGTGATAAAAATTTGCAGACTTGCGCCAAAACAGGGGCATCTATGTTCAAGTGGGTGACAGGAGGACACCACAGGAGCCCTGGGAACGGCTCCCTTTCACCACCACAAAATGTGTGGAAGGGAACCTGACGTGCTGAGTCTGGGCCAACTTACAGTTGAAGCTCTTTGTGGGGAGTAGAGTTAAACATGGAAATAGTTGAGGAGTATTCAAAACAAGCACTCTCTTGCATCAGGGTAGGAACTATTCAAGATGAAAGGATCTTCCAAAAGGATTTCTAGGACATAAGAACAGAAAACTTGTAAGAATTAATAATTTTGAAAAACTAAATTTAAAGAAAATAGGAGAGGACTAAGGCACATAGAAAGAAATGTCTGTGAGAGAGGCTACAGAAATCACATACTAGAGGAAAATGACTTGTGTAGATAGATAGATATGTATGTATGCATTTTATTATTAAAAGACTATTTCTGAGAACATGCTAGCCCCTTTTATTGTGACAATGTAATGATAATAATAAGGAAAATCAAAGTATTCGGGTTTATCCCAGAGATTGAAAACTGAAAGAACTTCTTGAGATTCTTTGTAGCCCCAGGATTCTAAGATTCTCTTCAAAGGAAGGAGAGGAACATGTACACCCAATTGGCTCCAAATCAAACCCTTTTTAAAGATGCTTCCTAAAACCCTTTAAGTTAGGTCTCAGAAAGAATTTATAAATGATCTTGAGAAGAGAGAATGCAGTTGAAATAGGATTGATACCTTAGCCAATGTCATGAATACTTTTGATGTAAACAGAATGTTAAGTCTGTAGGTTCCCAATCCAGTACTCCTTCTTAGGAAGTTAGACTCTTCATTCTCCTGACTATAATACAACTCCTGGCCCTATTTTCTTAAGGAATTTCTATCTTTTCTAGAAAGAAACAATTCATATCACTTTTTTTTAGACCAAAATGCTTATCCAATTGCACTTTAGAGACAGATACCTGAGGATTCACAATGTATAATTTATACAGAGAACATAGCATAAAGAAAACCTGGGCCAGGTGCTGTGGCTCACACCTGTAATCCTAGCTATTCAGGAGGCTGAGATCTGAGGATCGTGGTTCAAAGCCAACTTGGGCAGGAAAAACCAGTTAATCACAGAAAAAGTTGGAAATAGTGCTGGGGCTCAAGTGATAGAGCTAGCTTTGAGCAAAAAGGAGCTCAGGGACAATGACCAGACCTGGAGTTCAAGCCCCAGGATTAGGAAAGGAAGGAAGGAAGGAAGGAAGCAAGCAAGCAAGCAAGAAAGCAAGCAAACAAGCAAGCAAGCAAGCAAGCCAGCCTGGCAAGCAAGCAAGAAAGCAAGCCTGGCAAAGAAAGGAAAAATAAGACAAGTCAGACGAGCTAAGCTTGAGAAAGGAAAAACTATGCAAGATCCAAGCACCAAGCAGTGAAAATTGTACTGAACACACCCAGATGCCAGAAAGCCAGGCATTTCTTTCTATTCCCTCTCTCTTGCTTCTGCATTAGAGTATTCAAATACTGCCCCATTCCCGGAACAATATAAACTTAAGTAATCCTACAACCAGAAGAGATGGATAGTTCCTCCAGCACCATAGTTCCTCTAGCACCAGCACTACATTGACTGCATTTTCCTCTTATCAACCTTTACTTTTTTCTCTTTCTGCAGCCATTGCAAGCATTTTATTAAAACTCAGATCACAAGAACCAAGTGAAGAACGGGAAGAAATCAAGCAACAAGCTGGGACAGGCAGAAGGGGCAGTCAACAGAATGTATGCCTAGGCCAGGATCATGGAGTAGCAGACACTTGTCTTACCCACCGCTCTCAAGCTAGGGTATATGATGCTGACAGTTTACAATGAAGCTTGCCACTCTCGGCAAAGATCCAACCCAGTGCTTTAAATTTCATGCCTGAGAGAAAGTTCTGCAGACCATTTAGACCTTAAGAAGTGATCTTTTTCTTGTTTTAAACAAACCACAGACACTAAAAATTACCCAAAGGACTCCATTTACAACAGTGATGGTACATGATTTTAAGGTATGGTTACTATTACTGAATTTTTTGATGGGGGTGAGAGGGTAGGGAAAAGATGGTTTGTCAAAATAATATGTATGGGGGCTAGGGAGGTGGCTCAGTGGTAGAGCGCTTGCCTTGCATACCTGAGGCCCTGGGTTCGATTCCTCAGCACCACATAAACAAAAAACGAAAAAAATAGCCAGAAGTGGCGCTATGGCTCAAGTAGCAGAGCGCTAGCCTTGAGCTGAAGAGCTGAGGGACAGTGCCCAGGCCCAGAGTTCAGGCCCCACGACCAGACCCCCCCCCCAAAAAAATAATATGTATGACAACTGGATATTTCAGCACAGATCCTACACTACAAAAACTAAACTGCCCATACTGTTTCTGAGGACACTACTGACTGCTCACATTTGTATTTTATTAATATTATAAAGAGAAATATGTTCCTTTAATCACCAAAGAAAATATTCTATTAAATATTGTTGAAGATGAAATAACCAATATAAGAATCATGTGTTTTTATTTGTCCTTTTTTGAAAGGACATTTATATTTGACTATGCAGAAAAATATATGTTTCCATATCACATAAGTATAAAATTTACAATACAATCACACAAGTTTGAATTCTAATGCTCTCAATCACACCCCTTTCCAATGTAAAACTTTCTTCAAATTCATTCCCAGACAGTCTAATTTCGCATTCTTGGAAAGCTGTAGCATGTAACAAAGTTATTCATGTGTCAAAATCAAATTTCTTGTGTGAACTACCGAAGAATTCTATATTAACATACCACACTCCCACTAGAAAACAGGACTTAGATAATAAACATTTTGGCATTTTCTTACATATAATGTCATACTATCCTCCCTCCATCCTTCTAAATGTCCTACTATCCTTCTAGTTTTCTATGTATTTGAAAATAATAACAAATTATTTCCTTAAAAACATCCTTAGGGCTGGGAAGGTGGCTCAGTGGTAGAGCGCGTGCCTTGCATGCCACAGGTCCTGGGTTCGATTCCTCAGCACCACATAAGCAAAAAGAAAAAGCCGGAAGTGGCGCTGTGGCTCAAGTGGTAGAACGCTAGCCTTGAGCTGAAGAGCTGAGGGACAGCACCCAGGCCCAGAGTTCAGGCCCCATGACCGGACCCCAAAAAAAAAAAAAAAAACCATCCTTAATGGAAAGAGTTGTGGGCTGGGAAGATGGCTCTGTGGTAGAGCGCTTGCCTTGCATGCCTGAGGCCCTGAGTTTGATTCCTCAGCACCACATAACCAAAAAGAGAAAAGCTGGAAGTGGTGCTGTGGCTCAAGTGGTAGAGCGCTAGCCTTGAGCTGAAGAGCTGAGGGACAGCACACAGGTCCAGAGTTCAGGCCCAACGACTGGACCCAAAAACAAAAAAAAGAGTTGTGCCAAAGGAAATCTTTATTAAAGGAAAACAAGTCATATTTGAAGGCCTACTGGAGAGAATCCAAGAGCATAAACAATTTGACAAAGAAGGTTGATGGAACAAAGAGAGAAAAGGTGGGGTCCAGGGAACAGGTAGGAGAGGCCCAGGGCTAAAGGAGAGCAAAGCTGGGTCTTTTCACAGAGAGTTACCAAGTCAGAAGTAATACCTGGAACTTTAAAGGAAGACACTGGGACCCCTTTCCCACTTCTTCATCTGTCCTGATAGTTCTCTTGTTGATTTGAAGAAATGGCCAAAGAATTTAGGTGAGTTTGAAGCAAAGACTAAAGAAAGGGTAAGGACTATGAGGTAGTATCTAAGTTCTCCAAGCCTGGATGTTTAAATATAAAATGCTAGAGCATGTGAACTTGAGCTTTGAACTCAAAGACAGAACACTGGGACTCTAATTCTAGTTCTCAGAGCTGTGAGATCTTCAGCAAACAAATGGGGCTCTCTATCTGGAACCCACTTAGATAAGCAGTTAGGACTAAATCATCATTTCTTAGGTCTCTTCTAGCTCAAGTCATTATTTCTTGTACTTTATTGCAACTATTATACCAACTGGGGTGAGTTAATCAGATAATCATTAAAGACGGATAATAGCCTTTGTATAAAAATCCTTGTAAGAATTCTAGTTATAAATGAGATTCCATCTGTATTCTCTCTTTACTATTAAAGCACATTTCCCTCAAGGAATCCACTGCATAGAAATCAACCGCTCAAATGTCATTTCATGAGTGAGTTTTTTTTTTCCTTTCCCGAGCAACTGTCAATATAAAAGCTCATTGTTTTAAAATGCATACTGGAATGCCTTGAATTGTTTGCTCCTAAATACATTAAAAATTCTATTACTGTAATGTGCTTATCATGTAAAATTCACTCTAAGGGTGAAAACTCTTCAAATATTAGGAACACCCAAAGAGAGGAGAACCGTATGTCCTCAATTACAACTAATAGCTGGGGAGGGGGTTCATTTTGAGTCAAACTACCTCAAATTCTTCTCACAGCCTCACAAAAATCTTACTGATCCTAAATCCTCCTATGCTCTAACCCTTAGGTTCAATGTTCTTTTTCCTCTTTCACAGAATTGAGTGACAACGCTGAACTATGGAAATAAAGCATGCATCTAATGGCACCTGATTCACTTAATCCTTCTGTGTGCCCTCAACATACAAGAGTCTGACCTGGCCTATCTGTTGTACAATGTCTAGTATCTCAGTAAAACAGTCTTGTGTTCTCCCAATAACTTATGTGCATGAAGAAAACTCTCTCAATATACACATTCTAAATGGCTCCAGGCTTTGAAAAATGCATGCTTTAGAACAGTAACAGGGCTGCAAAATACTGTTAATAAGGCCCTGAAGTAATCCTACCATGTTTTATAGCTCAGTTTCATATGAACAGGCTACCAGCTAGTTATATCCAACTGAATGGTTAGCAGCATAGTGGAGAAAGATAAATCAAAATTAATATGTAAAGTCATACTTGAAATTTGTTTTAGAACTCATTTTTAAGATTATTTAGGAAAATAGCATATCAGGTGCACTACTTCAAAAAAGTTTAAAAGCCATTTCAAAGATGCAGTCGGTAAAAAAACATTTAAGAGTCCAAAAACACAGGCTAACAGCCAGTTCTGATGCTAAAACTATTATTGCAGAGAATTGTGAGGTTTTATGACACCAAATGTCTTGCTACTAATAGAGAAAATGAAATCATAGATAAGAGGTCTGTCTGAGACTGTCCTGTAACCTCTCTTACTCCAGAGATATCATTTTAGCACTGTTTAAATAGTCAGCAACTACACATCCTACA